GCTCCCATATCTTTATCCCATATGAACAAATCACAAGTTTCATCACCACTCCAATATGAACATCTCCAGAAAAGCTTATCTTTGTTGGGTCAATTCTTGCACTGATACGATACCATTCAACCTTGGCAATCACACAATGTCCACCACGACTTTTTATAGATGAGGATGACATGGATGGTACATTGGTTAAGTTTGTCTTTTAAGATAACATTGTTACAGCAGCAGCATTCTCAACTGGAAGTAACAGGGAAGAAGAAGAGGAAAATGAGAAAAATCAGGGCAACAATATTATACCTGATTGTGTTTTTATAGATCATTTAAAACAAAAAATAATAAACATTAAATCCATTTGGCAGCGCCAATAACTGACAAAATAGAAAGAAAAAAAACTACATGTAAAGCCATGTCAGCTTCAGTTACTCATATCTAACGGCAAGGACCAAAATTTCTTTCGATAAATCTTTGGGGATTGTTCTTTAATGAAATTTTTTACAGGGACGAAAAATGAAAATAACTAATTTTATAGAGACCTTAAACATATAATTTTCATCACACATGGTTATTGAACCAATTAATATTAAATAATTTCCATCATTTCGGGTACCAAAATAATAAAAGATTAAAGCCCAAGCCCGAACCAAGTCGATTGGTCGAACGACAGCGGCGAACGTGTGTTATGTTTCATGGTAGTGTATTCTCACCCAACCACAAAAATGGGTACCCATTGGGGCCCAACCTAATTCACCAACATGGAATATATAAATTGTTTGGAATTACACCAAACCTATAGAGAATTTCAATCAATCTTGATGAACAAGATTCAGTCAACCTGATTGAAATCCCTTGTTCTTAACTCTTCACTCAAGTGATTCAACCAACCTTGATTGCAAGATGATTATTCACAATAATTAATAATAGAGAAAAGATGAATTGGGTAAGAAGGAGAATTTATGGTTTGTACAAAAGAAGAAGAAAGAATTCTCTACAGCATAAACTCTCTGCTCACAAACTGTGATCTTTTATTCTTTTACAACTGCAAATTCAATGTTATACAATAATATGGGTTACTCCCTCTATTTATTTTTAGGTTTTCTTGCTACCTAAGTTAAAGCCCAAAACTACAAAAGCCCAAAATACCTATTTTGGTCTAGGTTAAAATCCTGTGTCAGCAACCTGCTTCAACACTTCGACATATAATTTAACTTGACACACACATTATACTATTTCAACACACTCTTGTTTCTATCGAGCAACATGTTACTTCGAAACAAGGGATTACAATCTCAACGTACCACCTAATCCATTGTGTATAAGCTATCTACACTCATCATAAATCTTAATTTCTTAAACACTTCGACCCGCACTCCTTCTGTCATGATGTTTGCAATCTGATCTCAATTCTGCAGTGTTCCAAGTTTAGCTTCATTTTTTCTACTTGCTCTCGAAGATAATGGATCCTCACTTCGATGTGCTTTCTTCGTCCATGTGCTATCGAATTCTTCTCCAGATTGGCCGTTGACATGTTGTTGATTTTCATGGTAATTGCTCTGTGATCTTCTGATGTAATATCTTCGACTAGATTCACCATCCATGTTGATTAACATGCACAAAGTAAAGCAACTATGTACTCTGTTTCACACGAAGTATCATCTCTTCATCTCTTCTTGTGACCGTAAGTATCATCTCTTCTTCTTCATATTTTGCAAACTTTGCATCATTGTCTTGATTCTTCTATTTTTTAGGATAATCGCTAGAGAAGTGATCATACTTCTGACAATTGAAACACTAAATGTGACTCTTGTCAGGTTTTCAACCACCACCTTTTCCTCTACTTGCAGCACCACCTTTGTGGTTGCTTTGGTACGAAGGTCTTCTCTAACTCAACCAATTCCCTTTCTGCTGGTTTCCCCTGCCAGTTGAATTGTTGCAGTCTCTTCTACCTTTGTTGTCAAACCACTTTCCTTTGTCTTTCTTTTCTCTTGCTGATTGAACCCGCAGAGCCACATCACTCTTCGACTTGCCTGCAGCTCCTTCAGCCATTATTTGTTAATGAGATTCAAGCTTCCCTTGAAGCTCTTCTTTTGTCAATGTCGACAAACCTTTTGACTCTTCTATAGTAACCACCACGTGGTCGAACTTTTGGAGCCAAAGACCTCAAGATCTTTGCAACAACTAATCTCGACGTCAACGCTTCTCCACATACTTTGACTTCATTCACTAGTTTCATAAACATAGTGAATAAATAGTTATGCTTTCATTTTATTTCATTTGAAGCAATTCATACGTTCTTTTATGAGTTTGTAACCTCACCACTTTCACCTTTTCAGCGCCTCCAAACGATTTTTCCAGAATTTTTCATGCTTCTTTTGTTGATTCAACATCACTCAACTTCTCAAAATTGTTTGAATCAACACATTGATGAATTATAAAGAGAGCTTTATAAACTTTCTTTTTAAATTATTTATGTGTCGCCTTTTCTTCATCTGTTACTTCTTCTGCAAGCGGTGATACAACTTCCTTCACAAGATCTCAAAGATCTTAATAACAAAAAACCACATTCATCTGCTTACACCAATTCTCATAATTTTAACTCTTCAGAATCGAAAGACTCGCCAAAAAATGCTTGTTTGGATGATTCACTACCATCGTTATTACTTGCCTCGAATCGCTCAGTCAGAGCTCTGATACCAAATGTTGGAAATTACACCAAACCTATAGAGAATTCCAATCAATCTTGATGAACAAGATTCAATCAACCCGATCAAAATCTCTTGTTCTTCACTCTTCACTCGAATGATTCAACCAACCTTGATGACAAGATGATTATGCACAACAATTAACAATGGAGAAAAGAGAAAAGATGAATTGGGGAAGAAAGAGAAGTTAAAATTTGAACAAAGGAACAAGAAAAAACTTTCTGCAGAGTAAACTATCTGCTCATAAACTGTGATCTTTTATTCTTTTGCAACTGCATATTCAATGTTATACAATAATAGGGGTTACTCCATATATTTATAGTTTTAAATTTGCTTGATACCTAAGTCAAAGCCTAAAACTATAAAAATTCAAAATACCTATTTTGGTCTAGGTCGAAATCCTGTGTCAAGCAACTTGCTTCGACATCAAATACAACTCGACACACACTTTAGACTATTTCGACACACCCTTGTTTCTATCGAGCAACATGCTGCTTCAACACAAGGAATTACAATCTCAACATAAACACTACTAAAATATGTTCTCTCTCCAATGTGGAACTTTAATGTACATTTTCAAATTCACTTCATACGCACTAACTCATACTTATGCTCATTTATTGTTAACTTAATGTCATTAAAGTCTTCCAAGTTCCTACTCTAAGTTTTCAATCATCCCAAGAATTCCAACACAAGCTATTAGTCCTCTGCTTGAATCTATGATAATGCATGTTCCACTTTTGATGGTGATCTCAATCTCCTTCTCTTGAAGTTGACCAAGCTAATCAAATGACTTTTCAGCTCCGAAACATAGAATACATTGTAAAAAATTTCAACATCATTTTTCAAATGAATATTGACACCCCCTTTCCCCATGACAACAACAATAGAGTTATCACCAAATTTTACAATATCTCTAAATGACTCATCTAATTCAGAGAATAGAAACTTAATGTCACACATATGGTTACTGCAACAAGAATCTAAGTATCACATATTATTATACTTTTCTTACTTGTTATGGCATGCCATCAATAAGATTGTTTCTTCTTTTTCTTCTATCATTGCAAAATCTAATTTTCTCCCCTACCTCTAAAGAAATTAGGACACTCCGACCTGACATGGCCATATTGATGGCAATTGAAGCATTCAATGTGAGATTTATCAAATCTTAATTCTTGACCGCATACATGCCTTTGGAATAAAAATTAAATTTGTCTCTACCTCTTCCTTGACCACTTCCTACACCTTTGGTGGCTCATGAACCAGCAATGAACTTTGCAATTCATTAATGGAAAGTTTATCAATGTCATGTGATTCCTTAATCGAGCAAACTATGTAATCAAATTTCGCAGTCATTGATCAGAGAATTTTTTCAACGATAGTAGCATCTTATAATGTCTCCCCGTGGATCTGCATATTGTTGCAATTGCCATCATCCTTCATATGAAGAATCTCAAAATCTCTTTGAAGGGTTTGAAGTTGTGCACACTTCACTTTTGATGTCCCTAGATATTTTAGATTCATTGAATCCCAAAGTTGCTTGCTAGTGTGTTTATGAATAATAGTTTCCAAGACTGTACAATCAATAGCCTAGAACAAGTAATTTTTCACCTTCAAGTCCTTCAATTTTCGTTCACCTCTGTTGCTTCTTCTAAGCAATTGTCAACACCGTCCCTTCTAGATAAACTGTGATACCATCTTCAACTAATAGCCAATACTCTTTTGATCTCAAAAGTTTTCCATCATCATAGCTCAATGGTCGGGGTGACCACCAAAGTGTAGAATTGTTGGTTGAATGAAATTATTATTTTCATACGCCATTTGCTGCTGCAAGAAAGCTGCTGCTTCTATCTTTATCAAGCCCAAGATGGGCTCTGATACCAAATGTTGAAACACTCACATATCACAAATCACAGTAACACAGTATTTTGAGGAAAAATTGAATTCATTTTAAATCTAAAGGCATGTTTAGCCTTTTAAATATGAAGTAAGATTAAAACAAAATACTATACAAACAACTCAAAGTAACTACTCCCTAATAATTAGGATTTATTTAAAACAAGAATTACTAATTAAATTTAACAAATTTAAAATCACGATTACAATTATTATCAGTCTAATTTGCTAATTATACAAGATTACTTTTAAATCCATTTTAAAAAATGTTCCCAAATGCTTAAGGATTCAATGTTGCTTACATGCAAAGGCCTTCTCTCTTCAAGCATTACTGTTAAGATGAGAGGAACCATTCCAGCAGACAAATACTTCAGTGTGTGAGCACTGACGGTATGAAAAGTTGCTTCACAAATCTATCAGTAGTCCTAGAGGATAAAATCCTGTCAAGATTTAATTTGAAATTAAGAGACATTTAAAGGAGTATTGAGTAAAAACAGGTAATATATCTTACAAAAAGTACAAACCTGCAGCCCATAGCCAATACTTGAATGTGTGTACATTGGAGCCAACAAAATGGTCATAAGAGTATGGCAATGCATGATATAGTTTGGACCAGATGATATGGATGGACATTGCCAAAGAACCTTCAGTAAAAGGTATTGCAATGCATGATACTCAGTCGTTTCATGGTTACTACCGGTATCGAATGAAAACCATTGATCCAAGGGGAATACTATATTCAAAGATACTCTTTTTCTCCTTTGACAATGCATTTAATATGCGACAGATTTTCTCTCCAATGTTCGTATTTAGCATCAGTCTGAATGCTCTTATTACACTGCAGCAGCACGTGCTCTGCTGTCTCCGACTCCAAGTTACACCACCGACAATTAGTACCAGTGCGCACCCTTTTGTCGATTAATCTTACACAAGTTAGGAAATACATTGCCTATTGGTAGTTGAGTCCCACATCGAAAGAAGGTGAAAGGTATTGAGATAAACAAGAGTATAAAACAACTTGAATACCGACATTTAAACATACTTACCTGGATGGGGTCAATGGTTAATCATGAAGGACCATGGCCTAGGAGAGTGACCTCCATTGCACATAGGAGGGGTGCTATCCTAAGGTCTACCCAAGTGGTGGAACCTACATCATAATTTGTTGCAGTGGGGGCCTGCGTTCGCGCGGCCCCCTCCTATTCTAATATCAATGTACAGGGAGATACTTCCATACATGGTTTATGAGATTATCAACTGTTACTAGTTAGATTCAACTCTCAGTGTCAGTTAATAATATCCAAGTTAAGAAAATATATACTAAAATTCCTCATTGAAGAAATTAGTACCTTTAAATTTTGGTGAGTAAACAGAATGACATGATCTTCTGTTGGAAAGAGTAAGAGATTAGCAAGAAAGTGTTTCAACATTCTAAATATGCAGTTTGCTTTTTAAATTGTCTTACTCAGATAACTCACTATGCTGAACAAGTGTGTTTTGATCTCACACTTTATGTTGTTTTTTCCCTCGAGAGCAAGAATGTTGCCAGTGAAGGCATCATGGCCCTACTCTACTCATTGCAATTGTAATATAAAAACTATAGAAGTTTCCACAACGGTATTACAACAACACTTACTATTGCATCAATTGTATGTATTTGCTTGTATTTTACCGTAGTATTAAGGGTCAGAGCAAAATCAGAATGACGACATCCATAATTTATACCTGTCTAGATGTAGCATTTTTCATATTGACCAATAATTGGAAACCAATCATTCAGAGTGTTACCTACCAGAAAGTATCTTCTGAACAGGTATTTCCACAACTCCAATAAGTTCAGCACCAAGAATATCATTATCTTTTACTAGAAATTCAACTCTTTGAACAGGATGAGCAACAAGAACAACGAAATGTTCATCCCATAGAGGGTTTTTGCAATTCGGAATAACTATATGTTGAAAACTGTTTCTTTGTTGTTGTGACTGTCATTTCCTTGTTGAGACTTGTGTGGAACAATTTTACCACCTTAATATAGATATAAAAGAAGAGGGATGTGATAATCGGAATCATTATGGAATAGAATCTAAAATCTATATCTGAACAAAATTGGTTGTGCTTGCAGCTTGCTACATTACAAGCATGTTATTTAGGTAACTTTTCAACGAAGTCTACAAAGACTAGTACCTAGCCATTAATATCAAAACCTCTAAAACTCCTCAGCTTGTCCCTTGCATTAAGGATGTTTAACTCACCATTTAATTGTTTACCTCATATTAAGGATTTAGGATCAATAGAGATCATGGATTTATATTGTGATATGTTAGCAAGTCTGTAGTTATGAAAGGAAAGGGAAATTATGTAGTCTCCAAGTTGTTGCATAAGAGTCCCACATCGGTTAGTGAAGAAAGAAACATAGATGATGTCAGATATAAATACACAGCTAGCATATGTTACTACTCATACGTTTCTCAGCCTTTTGGCTAAGATCAAGTAAAGTATTTGATATTACTAGTTTAATATCTGATATGTGGGCCAATGGTTCACGTGATATTAAATCTATTTCTGTTTTTGTGTTGCACTACTGCAATTGCCTCGCACACCCCACCAAACCTAGTTCAAATTTTAATCTTCTTTCTTTATCTTGATTTACATTACTTTTGCAGAAATCAAGTTTTTTGCTATTTGGTCGCTCAATAGATCTAAATGTGTATTCCAAATAGTCAAACCTAATCATTGGATAAACAAGTTTAACATCACAAGTAAACCTATAAAACCAGTCCATTGAAACCATAATCAATAGATCTAAATGTGTATTACAAATAACCTATCATTGGATAAACAAGTTTAACATAACAAGTAAACCTATAAAACCAGTCCATTGAAACCATATCGCACAGATTCAACTTAAACATAAATTTCATCAAACTGTAAGTGAAACTATTGATTATGTTTTAAACAGTTCTAAGACATGAAAAAGGCCAGCATGGTCCAAATAGTCAAACCTAATCATTGGATAAACAAGTTTAACATCACAAGTAAACCTATAAAACCAGTCCATTGAAACCATATCGCACGCACAGATTCTCTAAGACATGAAAAAGTATCTAATTCAAAAACCATATCGCACAGATTCAACTTAAACATAAATTTCATCAAACTGTAAGTGAAACTATTGATTATGTTTTAAACAGTTCTAAGACATGAAAAAGGCCAGCATGGTCCAAATAGTCAAACCTAATCATTGGATAAACAAGTTTAACATCACAAGTAAACCTATAAAACCAGTCCATTGAAACCATATCGCATGCACAGATTCTCTAAGACATGAAAAAGTATCTAATTCAAAAAGAGATGGTTCAAGGGGCTAGGCACACCTGGTGTTGTGGTTTGGAGGTGCAGCAGCCTGTGATCCCTCCACTGTCAAGAGTAGGAAGTGTTCGCTGCTCTGTGAAACCAGCCTCACGCAATACCCTCCTGTCTAAGAGACACAAGACCTATAAAACCAGTCCATTGAAACCATATCGCATGCACAGATTCTCTAAGACATGAAAAAGTATCTAATTCAAAAAGAGATGGTTCAAGGGGCTAGGCACACCTGGTGTTGTGGTTTGGAGGTGCAGCAGCCTGTGATCCCTCCACTGTCAAGAGTAGGAAGTGTTCGCTGCTCTGTGAAACCAGCCTCACGCAATACCCTCCTGTCTAAGAGACACAAGACCTATAAAACCAGTCCATTGAAACCATATCGCATGCACAGATTCTCTAAGACATGAAAAAGTATCTAATTCAAAAAGAGATGGTTCAAGGGGCTAGGCACACCTGGTGTTGTGGTTTGGAGGTGCAGCAGCCTGTGATCCCTCCACTGTCAAGAGTAGGAAGTGTTCGCTGCTCTGTGAAACCAGCCTCACGCAATACCCTCCTGTCTAAGAGACACAAGACCTATAAAACCAGTCCATTGAAACCATATCGCATGCACAGATTCTCTAAGACATGAAAAAGTATCTAATTCAAAAAGAGATGGTTCAAGGGGCTAGGCACACCTGGTGTTGTGGTTTGGAGGTGCAGCAGCCTGTGATCCCTCCACTGTCAAGAGTAGGAAGTGTTCGCTGCTCTGTGAAACCAGCCTCACGCAATACCCTCCTGTCTAAGAGACACAAGACCTATAAAACCAGTCCATTGAAACCATATCGCATGCACAGATTCTCTAAGACATGAAAAAAGTATCTAATTCAAAAAGAGATGGTTCAAGGGGCTAGGCACACCTGGTGTTGTGGTTTGGAGGTGCAGCAGCCTGTGATCCCTCCACTGTCAAGAGTAGGAAGTGTTCGCTGCTCTGTGAAACCAGCCTCACGCAATACCCTCCTGTCTAAGAGACACAAGACCTATAAAACCAGTCCATTGAAACCATATCGCATGCACAGATTCTCTAAGACATGAAAAAAGTATCTAATTCAAAAAGAGATGGTTCAAGGGGCTAGGCACACCTGGTGTTGTGGTTTGTAGGTGCAGCAGCCTGTGATCCCTCCACTGTCAAGAGTAGGAAGTGTTCGCTGCTCTGTGAAACCAGCCTCACGCAATACCCTCCTGTCTAAGAGACACAAGACCAGTGCCTTCGCACAAGTCCCATGGGTCAACTCGCAACTTGGAGCGGGCAGGCCAGCATGGTGCAACCACCAGACCAACCAGTTAAGCCTTAGCCATGTTCCATCTCCTTGATGCCCCCACATGGGTCACAAGCTGGCGCTACTCAGCTCGGCGAACTAACTAGCGTGTAAGACATTTATAAGCACTTGCTTGTGTGGTGTTCTAGCCAATGTGGGACTTAAATGGATCAAAATTGGTCTAGTATTAAGTTGGAACATGCTTTCTTAAATGTTGTGGTTGATGTTATAATATATATATATATATATATATATATATATATATATATATATATATATATATAGAGAGAGAGAGAGAGAGATTATATGACCGAATTACTCACACATATATAGAAGGATTAAATCTATTCAGAAAGTTATACGAAACTAAATACACTCAGCAAAATGATCCAAAACCAATGAAGAAATAATTAAATGCATACCTGATTCAGCTTAAGAGTATCAACAAGCAACATTATAACTTGTGAATGTTGCTTCTTCAAGTTCTGGCTTTATTCCCAAAACAAAATCAAATTTCTCTAATGCTTCCTCGTACTTATTAGCATTCTAGCAGCATTAAATCCAGAAAAGTAATGGACATTAAGATTATCAGTAACATGCCATTAATTATTTAGTCCTAATCTACATTACAATTTCATATAGAAAATGTTTTGTTTCAGACATGTCTATCTTATTTTTATAAGAAAATATATATTCCTTGTTTTAATAAGCAAGTGAGTAATAAAGGAGAAGATTAACTGAATCCAGCTCATGTCTATATGTTGTACATTGTTCTTCCATATTCGCCATTCGTTTGTTACAGTTGGCTTACTTGCATGGTTTTAAACCAACGTTACAGTTACAGTTATGTTGCAAACTTTTATATGGTAGGAAAATACGGCAAATACGATGTTGCAGATACCTCAATACTTTTATGCTGCCTTTGTGGAATCATTATGGATTTGTATTATTTGCAATTATGAAATCACAAAATCGACAGTCGTGCATTTTGGGCCATCTGATCAAGATCCGATGTCTCACATCCGACCTTGTAAGGCCGCGACATATGGGGGATTTCCTGACTACAGGGGTTCAAATCCGCAAATGCTAATAATAAAATGTCACAAATAATGATTGTGTAAATAAAACATGAGATACTTTTGAGACTACAAACAGTGTATTGAAATTTCTTGTTGAAAGCATTATCAAAACATACCTGGAGCAATATAACCATGTCTCCCAGCAAACCTTGTAACACCGAATTCAGCGCTTTTTGCCTCATAATCTTCATCAAGCAAGATGCAGCTAGATTTTATATCCCTACGAATAACAGGTGGAGAACAATCGTGGTACAAATAGCAAATCCCTATTGCAGCTCCCAATGCAATTTATACCTCTGATTCCAATGCCAATAAACCTTCTCATCTTTTATATTTCTATGAAGAGCTTCAAAAAGATTACTATTTGGCATATACTCAAAAACTAAAAGATTGGTTCGTCCTTTAAAAAAACAAGCATAAAATTTAAGCATAATTCTATGTCTGATTTTCCCAAAAATCTACATTTCTGCAGCTAAAATCCTCAATACACGACCTTTCTCTAGTTGCTTCACAGCCACTACCATCCAGCTTTTCTTCAAGGTCAGGATCAGTTCTGATTCTCTGTTAAACAACAACAACATTAGTCCTGTGGGTCAACTCTCAACCTGTTAAGTCAAAATAATACTCCCTGGAGAGATAATGTTATTAAAAATGAATTACTAGTCTTCAATGACAGCTGTGGGATTTGAACCCACGCCCTTTCGGACCAGAGCCTAAATCTGGCGCCTTAGACCACTCGGCCAAACTGTCTTGATATATGATAATATCACTTGGTCTAATATTTTGATTGAGTCCTTTGAAGGACTGTCAAACTTGAAAGGAATGATACGAAGCAGACTATATTAGTATCCAACTCGGACGTGTAGTGGTTCAGTCGCTAGCTGACGCACACCAAACTGTAGGTAAAATTAAGGAACGTATGAGAAAGGATCCAAGAGGGGTATAGATCATGGTGTTTGTAAATCATAGAAATTTAAGCTAAAACATTCATACATTTTAAAGGAGTTCTAAGGTTAGACATGAAAGACCCAATTGAACCCAAAAAAAAATACTCATTTCATTAATCATGTGCTACAAAGAAACTCCCCCTCAGGCAAAACTGGAGGCAATAGTGATTCAAGACCAAGTAGTATGTGAACCAAATCATTCCATGACAAACAAAGCTATCTTTTACTAAATTAAGATGATAGAGAAAAAAACTTGGTATGGTGTTTGTGAATGCGGCTTCTTCAAGTTTTGGCTTTGTTCCCAAAAGAGAATCAAATTTCTCTAATGTTTCCTCGTATTAAAAAAGTATTTTATAAGATATTATGGATAGCATGTCAAACAAGCATTAAACAACTTATAGACATGTGGTATGTTGTTTCCACAAACCCTTCTAAACAATCTTATCTAAATAGATACGATTAAATAACACAATCCAAACAAACCCTAAACCTTCAATTCACAAGCTGGCGCTACTCAGCTCGGTAAACATGTCTGGTATTCTAGCCAATGCGGAATTTAATAGATATAAATTTGCGTAGTATTAAGTTGGCACATGGTTTCTTAAATGGCTTACTTTGTACTGAGCACTCCTAAACTAGTTTTAACATGTTATAACACTAATCCAAAAATGCTGCAGCGCCGATATTGCAGCCATAGTAGGCATGCAAGGATTCAATCAAGTAGCAGTTGACTAAAATAACATTCCAAGATGCAAAATGAAGATTAACATTTCATAAAAAAAACATGTTTCTACAGTTACATAATCTCAAACTACAAATTAAAACATACCCTCAAAGATTACAACTAGATAGTTTCGCTTCCAATCAAGAGAAAGGAATTGAAGAGAGGAAGATACTCAATTTTCACAGATCCGAATTAATAGCAGAAATGGAATGAGAAAACTGTTAGCTATATTGTGTTACAATACTCAGTCAAAATGAACCATTTCCTAATGGAGACATAAAGGAATGGGAATGTTATAGCACTGCTCATAATGTTATACAAGCTAACTAATTAAAATTAGAAAGCAAAGCTGAATCCTACTTTATGCATTTCAAGTACTAACTAATAAAGGAATTAGGCAGTATTTCTTGATCTTTAGTCCTTCCCTAATTTATGTGATCATCAAGAGTACTTATCCTCCTTGCTAGTCAGATCCAATCTTTAATTTCTTCAAGTTTTTGAATAATCAATATGGTATATTGATTTGTAAGTACCATGGACTCTGGAGTATTTTCAACTATTGTTTAAATGGCTTACTTTGTACCCGGCACTCCTCAACTACTCTTTTGACATGTTATGACACTAATCATTGAGGGATTTAATTTACATATATAGAGGGATTATCGGGCACTTAAAAAATGATCGAAAACCAATGATAGAGTAGTGTAATGCGTCACATATAATTTGTAAAGTGGACAAACATATATACCTGGTTTAGCTTAGAGTAAAAACAAGCAACATCAAGAAATTTCTGAGTGGGGGGAGTCTTACTTGTATAGTCGTAAGCCTTCTCTCAAATCACTTTCCGGACGCTCTTTCAATTCTTTTTTCCTTAAGTAGTTTTGCATCTGAAATTTTTACAAAATTGAGGAACGAAAACAGTTATCACCTCATAATGCACATCAAAGTACAATAGTGACATCTTTCAATAAAAAATAAAATATCTTATATATAAAAAAAGGGTTTGAAAATTTAAGAATTACAAATTTGTAGTTTAAATAATGATGAAACTTACTTGAATTTCTCTGACTTTATTACCCACTACATCAGAGTTCCTGTGAAGAAATGGAAACCAAGGTTCACGGATCCATGAACTAAGTTGATAAACAGGGAAACATTGCGAAAATGCATACAAAATAAACTAACCATGTCGTTTCTGCATTCTCATGAGTAACGGGCTTATTCTTTGATGTTGAACATTTTGACTGAGTCACATCTCAAACACTATATGACAATTTGTTTATCACTAAATTAGTCCTCTAATTACCTGCTTTAAGCATGATATGATATCAAGAATATTAATTGAATAACAAAATCCAGAATCATAAGCTCATTCTTTACCAAATAAGGTCCTACTTGGATAAACAACTTAAGTGCTTATGTATAAGCTATTCTCTGTAACAAAAAATAAACTAAAATCAAAGAGTATGACAAGTGTTTATTGAAGTAGATAAGCTTAAATAAAACAATCCAAACAAACCCTATGCTTGAAGTACTACTGATGAGAAAACAACAACGTATCTAGTTATCTGAAAACAAAATGAAGAGCACAAACCTTGTCAGTTGGTCCACAAAAAGAATGGGTTTGATTTTGAGAAAGTATATGAAAAAGGGTTTGTTGAGGAAAATTATTTGGCGGTGGGAACAAAATAAGAGCGACTGAGAGCTCTATGACTTTCCTACTTCCTTCACCCGCCAAATTTTTATATTTTTACAATTTTATAATTAATCTATAAATTATTATATATCATTTTTTATTTATAATCTAATTTTTTATTTAATTATTTTGGGTGTTGCTACATTAATTCTTTTGTTTAAATTATGAGAATATTTTAGTTGTAAGGATGCATTTTATAAATAATTAATGTTTTGTGTTTAAGATTTATCCATATCCTTATTGTTTTTTTTCTCTCCTCTTCCAACTTGTTTGAATCCTCTCCTCTCAATTCTTTTCTTGTTCTCTCTCAAATTCAAACATCGCTATTTTATGAAATATTGTTCTATAAGTGATATGTTTATAATAAAAACATCAATTTTTGTTGATGACAACTAATGTTTTCTAATAAGTTAAGTATAAGCGATTATATGTGGATAAAGATGCAAATTTAATATTAAGATTTGATAGACTTAACGATCTAATAATGCAAATCAAATGAAATATAATTAAAACATCATCTCAAACTACTCAAACAAATGTCTACAAAAGATAAAGAATCTGATAATGACTTGAAGTGCTTAGGACCAGGTTTGACCATGTGCAGGAGCAACAGACTCTACAGCATAGAACCTCGCATTTTAGAGGGTCCAAAATTTTGAAAAGTTCAATTTTTTTTTACGTTAATATTAATAAAAATAAAAATATGTTATAAAAAATTCAATAAATTAAAAAGTTACAATGATAAAAATCCAATACATTAAAAAAAAAATTGATCAAAGTCAAAACGATTATAGTTAAATTTTTTATTAATATATAATTATATTTTTTAAATGTCATTTTTAATTTATTATAATTTTATTTTTTTAAAATATAGGTTCATTTTTAAAATTCGAACGGGACCTCCAATTTGATTGAACCGACCTTGCTTAGGACTAGGGGTGAGAATATGCCAAGCTTATTAACAGGGGACCTACGATCTAGCCTACACGAGTCAAGGTCAGGTCAGACTTTTTTTTAAGTAGAAAAGACAAAGGCTTTTTTATAAGCTTATTTAGTTAAATAGGTTAGACCATATGCCTTAAAGAAAGTCTTTTAAGACTGTCAAACCAACTTGTTTTAATAAATATGAATAAATTTATTATTTTTTATAATATTTTTTGTACTTTATGTTAAAATACAAAAGTAAAGTTTAGTTATCTTGAGTAAAAAATAAGTTGAAAAAACATGAATAATGTCATAATTTGTTTTCATAAGTTTTCCCAATCAAATAATCTCATAAATTATACTACTATGTTAGCTCAAATAAGTCAATGTGAACAAACATTTTGTCTCATTGTACTTTTGATTCTCTAGTATATTTAAATATTAGTTGAATTTCTTATTTACAAATGCTCAAATGATATAGACTTTTTAAGCAGCCTAATAGGCTAATTAGGCATTCGAAAAGGCCTGACTCAAGCTGAAAAATAAGCTTATGACAGGTCAAACTTAGACTTTGAAATTTTTAATAGACCAAGCTCAAACTTGGTAAAGTCTAGCTCAACCTAAGAGGTGTTCTCACCCCTACTTAGAACCTTCCTAACTTAAGAGTGGGTGAAATAAATGTAATGCACATGGGAATGATTTGTAAATTGTTTGACTTGGAATTCAAGTTTGCGTTGATCGGGGAATGATTGTTCAATATGATGTAAATGGAAAAGATTTAATTTTGCTTTTATCCGAATTGCATTGTTTTTGGATTTTTTTTTTATATTTGACTCATATTTGACACAGACTCAATAAAATAGAATAATAATGACAATAATAATAAAACTAAGTAATAAATAATAATACTATTATAAGTAATAATAATAAAATGGAGATAATAATAATACAAATGAAATTAACAAAATATGATGAAAAAAAATGATAATAGAGAAAATAAAAAAATGGGACAAAAGTCAAAAAGGCCCCTTTGACTTTTAGTCAATTGGATTGACTTTTTGACTTAGACTAATACAAGTAGACCAAAGATTCTGATGAAATGACTCTGATGATATTCAATGTATCATATGAAAATAAAATACCTCAGACACATTAATCAGGTGGAAATGAATCACTTAGACAAAACAGTACGCCTCAGACAAAGTCATATGTCTCATATGCAACCATAATAACCTAGTCAAAGGCCTAAAGGCTCAGACAAAGTCAATTGCCTTAGACATAAACAAATGACTTATAAATCAAGGACTCGGATGAAAATGTAGTAAACTTAATGTAATGTATTAGATGAATTTAACTTAGCATAGACAAAAGCAATGACTCGGGCATGGTAACTGACTCAGTGACCTATGATAATCAGATAAAAATGGTGGGAAGAATTTAGGGTATGAAAGTAAGCACATTTGAATTCTAGAAAAACCAAGATTCTCGTAGTCTAACCACGTTACAACAATAAAAAAAAAGACCTACTCATATAAAGAAGTCCCAAGGCTGGAGAATATCAATATTTGATTGAACAAGTCAAATGAAAACTTATAATTTGGAAATCTAGGAAGGTATCAGTGACCGAAGAGCTACATTGTGTCCCTTAATAAATTACAACTCTCTCATTATGAAGATCTAAAATCAAACTAGAGGTTCAAGATTGAAGAATTTTGTTGCAAGGGTTTTTTTAACTGTAAAAAATGAGAGGATGTAGATTTTCACAAAATCATAATGTGAGAAAATGTTGTAAAATTGTGTAAAGTTGTGTTTGTAAAATGAAGACAAAAAGATTTTATATGTTCTTGAGATTAAGCACAAAAATGGATGGAAAAAGTTAGTTAGATTTGAATTAAGAACATTTCATGATTTGAGTCAAATGAGTAAGTGAATTGGAATAAGGAAAAGATATTTCGACTCATTTCTCATCTGATTCGGGTCAAGTGTAAAGTCTGATTCAAGTCAAGTGTAAAGTCTGATTCGAATCAGATAGCCCGTGATTCGAATCAAGTGTAAATTCTGATACGAATTAATTGAAACAGATCCAAAGAGAAATGTGAGAAAAACTAACTGATTTGGATCACGTGTAAATTCTAATTCGAATCAAATCAAGCAAAGATGACTCAGAGCTGTCTGATTTGAATCAAGTGTAAAAATTTGATTTGAATTAAGGTTGTTGAAAAAATTCAGCTTGCCTCTGTTCAATTTGATTCAAGTTAGGATATGTGATTGATTCGAATCATGCACACAAAATATTAAATTTTCATAATTTTCAAAATACTTTGAGATTTTTCTTTCCACCTAACTTTAACTAATATCACACATGGCTCTTATTCCACTAACTCATGCAATTGACTAAAAGCATCATGACCAGGCTCAAATATAACTTATTATTTATGCATGCTAAAATGAATCGATTCAAACTTGATCCAAAGATGTGCAATCATGAAGGGGACTCAATAAACGATAATAAAGAAAGCTAAAAGACAAGTAACAAAATAATTGTATTGAGGGTGCTCCCCCTGAATGTGTTAGGGACATGCAACTTCAGTCTCCCCCTATGGATATGAAATTTCATTCTCCCCCTTTTTGATGCGTAGTACGCTTTCACTTGGAATTTAATTGACTTTGAGCCAAAAGCAAAAATGTTTGTGCTCCCTGTGATACGGTGGGAGAACAGACTTGAAGGTTTTGTGTTTGATTGCAAATGTTGTGGTTAGCAAGAGTCACCACCGACTTTTCTTTTATCCAAAAGAAAAGGTGAAAAAGCACAGGAAAGACCTTTGAGATTATTTCTTGAGTTCGGGGGGTAAATTATGAAAAGGGAAGGTATTAGCATCCTTTTCATCTATGGTTTTCCATGGACTATTAGTTACTTGCTAGATCACTTGCTTTTGTTTGAAATTGTGCTTTGTGTGGTGTGAGTTTTGAAAGTACTTTGAAAATGTAACTTCGTAATGATTCTACTTTCTATAAGAACGCATACAAAAGTGTTTGTTTCAAAAATGATTCAGAAAAAAAGTGTTTATGAGATGTGTTTTTGAAAGTGATTTTGAAAAGGTGTCTTTGTAATAATTCTTGTGACACCCCAAATAATCCGATTATTAAATAATTAGAATTTTTAATTATTAATTTAATTGGAAATTTAATTATTGGTATTTTTGGATTATTGGAATTAATTTAATTAATTAAAGGAAAGAAGTATTGGTGGTGTGAAGAGTGATTAGAGGGTGTGAGGGGTAAAATACTCTACTCTTACTAATTACTAATTTAATTATTTTATTGGAATAATAAAAGGAGTATTAAAAGGAAAAAGAAGAGAAAGAGAGTTATTTTGGAATATTCATCATACGTGCATTTGAGAAAAGGAAAAAGAAGGAGAAAACCGAAGCGTCAGAATTCGAAGAACCCACAAGGTAAGAGGTGATTTCGATTAGTTAATTCGTATTATCGGTTTAGATATTCAATAGTATGGATCATAGTATGTTAGGGAATCCCGGTTTGGAATTCTAGGGTTCCGTAGAATTGTCCCTATTGCGTCGAATTGTAGGTTGAAAACCATTAGGGTGTCAGATGATAAAAAGGAATGATGAAATAATGTTGTTTGATGTTATAATGGTACAAAATGGATGTGTTTTGGTGTTTCTCATGTTGCAATTC